CCAGCCCCCCCCCCCCCCGGGGGGGAGCGGGAACGGAGGCTCCGCCGCCAGCTTCAGGCCCTGGCAGGCAGCTCCGTGCGGGTGGCAGCGAGTCGGAAACGGGCGTGGGGGGAAGAGCAGAGCAAGGGCTGCCCCGCTCAGCACTACTTCTGCGTGGGGACGCACTGAGGGGTGGCGGGAGGACCAGCAATAGAGCTGGGGTGGCCGGGCGCTGCCATCCCGCCTCCCGGGGGCCCTCCTATCCGTCCCGCGTGCTCCGCATCCAGTCCCCTCTTCTTGGGGCTGGCCTCGGAGGGATGCCTTCCAAGAGCTGTTCAAAAAACCCTGGGTAAATCTTGAGCTTGATTCTCCTCCTGCGCTGACACTGGAGAAGTCGGCAAAGTCACCTAATTGACAGATGCGAAAGAGAAAAGCAGTGGCGAAAGCGTTCGCTAGCGTCTTCTGAGGGTTTGAACAAATGTTTAATGGCTCTGACACTTTGTTTTCCCATCTGTAAAATAAAACACTGACGTTATAAAGCTGTTGGTGAAAGTAAGCTTGTTTTTATAAAATATCTTATATATATATAGCTTGTATATACAGCTTATTTATAAAATATCTTGAAGAAAAGCATGACAAATTAATATGAAAATTAATAGGGTACCTTTTTTAGGATAGCCTTCCTCCTGAATCCTGCTGTCTTTATTCTAATCTCAAAGCATCGTTCTTCATGACTAGAAACACCGAGATCTGGAAAATTTTGTAAATATTCTTTTTTCTCTTCTTTGTGTACAGTCTTCAGACTTGAATTATGCTGCTTCTTACCGTTATTCAATACTCACCGTGTTTTGTGGGTTGTTAGGTACAATAATATGCTGAATAATTGTTACATCCCCACCTAAGATTTGGGTGAATGTTCTTCAGTCTTTGTTGTCTCTGATGACAGAGTGATGTTGGTGGGTGGTTATGCTTGCTCTTATCATTTCTGGTTTTCACCACGTGTTTTTTAGATTAAATTGCCTTCTCTGTCTTAATGGTCTCTTTTTGCTCTTCAGACCTGTGAGAGAGGTGCGTGTTTATCAGTGTACATTCACTTCCTTACAACTACACAAGACTCAAAGTCTTAAATGTTCACAGCTCACGGGTATCCATCCAGTTCCTACGTGAGGACAAGCCGCAGGAGATCGGGGAAGAATTTCTGGCTCTGTGAAGCCAGCTTATTCTTAGAGATCCAGTGTGTAGTACTGTTTAGAATGAAATGTTTCACCTCAGGTGAAATCACTCAGCTGCAGAGGAGAGTGGGAAATTACTGAGCACAGTAATCCTTGCGTCCATCTTTCCCATGCTTCCTTGGAAGCCTGCCTTTTAAGGTACAACCCTGTATTCAGTAAGAAGCTCTGGTATAAAGCACGACACTTGGTGGAGCCTTCCAAAGTAGCTGAGACACTGTGGAGTGTGCAGTCCTCCGAAATAATACAGGATTTCTCTCTTCTTTCCCTTGAATGCGTTTCAGAGGATTGTTAACATGGGAAGGCCTTGGTTTAGCCTTTGAAAAGTGAATTGCAGAAATGCAGGCCATCTGTTATTTAATGTTTTCAGAAAAGTTTGTCCTGGAACATTTGTCAACTATGAAAATTTCTAAATCTCTGTCTGCCATGGAACAGTTAATCATTCTCTCCTGGGAACTATCAGAGACAAAGATTTATCATAGCTGTAATGCAACCGGCTTTTTCCTCAGTAATAGTATAATCCATTTAGGGTAGCTGTTTCCCAGCAAAACAAAACCTACTTAGTTGTCAGTATTTACGAAACACTGGCACTGCTCAGCCCCTTGCAAGACCGATACTGTTTGACAAGCACCATGTTTAGTATTGTTTTCTGCCTGGGGCTGATTCTTAAGTTGTTAGAAAGAATTCAGCGTTGAGAACATGCTTCCGTAGACCTTTCTATAGGTCACTGTACTGAACTGTGGCCAAATGTTGGCTGATCTTTGTTACGTGGTAGTTTTTAAAATCTGTCAGCATTGTGTCATCGAATGTTCTCCAGCTTTTGAGATACAGGGATTCTGGGCTTCAAGAAGGGGGTGTGGAATATGCCCATAAATGTGTTTCTGGTCTTGAAATTCTTCATGCATCCAAGTGAATTATCTTGGTCTGTTACAAATGTTAAAGAGAAGACGACTGGAGAATGTGCACTGCTGACACATTATTCTTTTTCATCTTACCTTTCTTGTCAAATGAGAACACAAAAGGACCCACTTCTAGGTACTGTAATTAGTGATGTCTTATTAGTAATTAAGAGAGATGGAAAATCCTTTTAAAGTGTCCCGCCCCTTTCGGTTGCAGGGGGTGCCTCCTGAACTTTAATAGCTGCAGTAATTGGAATTACAGAGTTTTAGCAGTAGGGAAAATATGATTCCACAAAATGCAAAGAAAGATGTGTACTTCTGTGTATTCGTGGTGTGAAATTATTAGATACAGGTGACTAGTTGGCAAAGGAAATCTTAATACTAAATGTATCATATTATGAGTTTACATTGTTACAATGTGAGG